CTCCTCTGTGATGTCCTCTGCCAGGCCACCCTGCCTTGGAGCCAGTCAACTGTGGACTAAAACCTCTGCAAACTGTGAGCCAAAGAAACCTTCCCCCCTTTAACTTGTGGGTGTTGGGTAATTTGTCTCAGCAGTGAGAAAAGTGACTACGACAGTCTTTCAGAGAGATAGCGAGAAGGTAGCCTGGAGAAAGGGCTTAAGCACTTGCATCCAGCCATTCCTGAACCTGGAATCCTGTGATTTCCTAGCTGTATAAGCAAACAAATTTCCCTTTTTGATTAAGCTTGGGTGAACTAGACTTTTGTCCCATGGAGCCAAAATGCTTCTGAGTTACTTCCTGGACTCCTTTTCCTGCTCTAAACTTCCAATCTCAACTGGCTGCTGAAACCACAGGCAAGGGTTCTGCCTGGGCTCACCCTGGCAGGAGGGAGCATCTGGGATGAGACACCAGAACTACTTTTATGAGCGGGTCATAGTGGTTTAGAAAATCATGCCCTGCTCACGGAACAATTCCTGCCCATTCCTCACCTCTGGGAGATGCAGTTTCACCTTGTGGGTAGCAGCCAGGGGGCCAGGGAGCAGCCAGGGCAGCAAAGGGCTGGGGACAGGGACTCAATCATTCTCAGGTTTTAATGGCGACCAGTTCATTTCCTTCCCAGAGAGACTCGCATTGACCTCCACCTCCAGCCTCCATTAACTGCCAGCGATGCTGCGGCAGTGTGTTCGTGACGAATTAATTACACAGAGAGGGGAAATCTCACTGGCACGCGAGTGTGCTGGTCTGGGCTGGGGTGGGAGTTGCACGCGGCTCCCCATGGACCTGGTGAGCCGCAGACCTTGGGTAAACCTGATGACCCCAGAAGCGATGAGCTACCCCGGTTTCAGGCCCCAGGACTTGTGGCTTAATGGTTGCAAACTGGACGTCCCACAGGGGCACAGGCTGGAGGCTGCAAGCTCGCCACAGTGGGCAGTTCCAGCCACGGGACAAGTCTGTGTCTCACACAGCTCCCACCCGCCTTGCCCGCTGCCCACCCCAGCTCAGTTCTCCCAGGAACCCCCAGGTGGATCAGTGGGACTTGTCCACCTGGTGCCTGTGCAGCCCTCTTCTGTGGCTACGCCCTCGGTGCCGGAGCTTTCTGAATAAGGCGCCTCATCCTGACCTTCATCCAGGCCGCCACCTCCCTGTCCCCACCATCTCCCTCCCCTAATCTTACAGATGTGGCTCTGTCAGACCGGGCTTTTGTTCTGCACTCTCTCAAGCCAGAGATTACTCCTGCCGAAGTCCCAGGACCCAGTGTGTATCCACCTCCCAGGCCCCAGACAGGATTTAGCCTTGCAGGAAGTGGTCAGTGAGGTCCTTTGTGTAAGCACAGGGACCCTCTAAATGTAGAAGTGAAATAATGGGACCAGAGCCCAGCAAGGTCCCCGTCCAAGGCTGGGAGAGCACAGGGGCTCCTCAGGTTGTTGCCTTCAGCATCTCTTCACCACAGCTGTACAGAAACACCTATTCCACATCCTAAGGCCACGTGACTGGGGGAGAGAAGTCACGTGACACCTGGTAACCAATCACAGCACTCCATTGCACTAGTTGGTGGGTGGACCAACTGGGGGCGTGGACAGGAGACTAAGGTTGTCCAACATGGCTTTCACTGTGAGAGAAGATCTCTTTCCACTGGACAACTAAGCAGCGGCATGGTGGCCTGAAGTGACAGGGACCATCTTCGCAAACAAAGGAGATCAGAGTGGAGGAACGGAGGAAGGCAGAGCTCTGAGCCGTTTCATGAGCTCCTGGGAGGCCTGTGCCTGGACTCACGCAGTAGAAGAGCTGGTGCACCCCCTTTTGTGCTACAGCGAGTCCCAGAATTCTGTCATCTACAGCCAAAGAAGTCTTGATGAATGCAGAGATACACGAATAACTTGCCACAGGACGGCAAGTGAAAGTTTGCTGGGAGGAGCGCCGCGCCCAGGACCCCAGCGTTTGCCCAATCCTAGCCTTTTTCTCCTGAGTTCGGCCTAAAGCTGCCCATGAATTTCTCTCCCCTTGGAGCAGGCAAGAGGCAACAGGCGAGGCTGGGAGCTCTGCTTTCTTCCCTGAGCCCTGCAAGTCGAGTGTTGGGGATTTAAGGATGGCGTTGTGAGGAGAGAGAAGCAGGGGACCCTGGGAAACCAAAGCCCACGTGGCCTGGCTTCAGCACTGCAGGGACCCATGGGCTCTTCTAATGGGCAGGAGCGAGGGTAGATCTTGCGTCATCAGTGTCTCAGGGTTTCTAATGAGTTATGGGTCGGGCAAGCATCTACCATGGAGACCGTCCCAGTCGGACAAAAAAGGACTAGGCGCCCCTTCCCACCAAGATAAACAGTCCTCGGGGCCATGGCTGCTGATGTCTGAGCTTCAGGGCCCCATGGAGACCGCAGTGTGTGGGGAAGGCCCACCCTGAGGGATTTGTGTGGCACTGAGAGGATTGCGGCCGAGTGCTTGTGTGTGTGCAAGGCAGGGACGCACGGGCCTTGTTCCTCAGCGGCCCGCCTGGCTGACTGCCACCTTCCTGTATCGTGCACCTGCCTCCCATCATCTCTCCTCAAGTGTCCGCGCCCTGTCTCTAGCCCGCCTTTTGGCTCATGAAATGACTCCGTATCCACACCACTTCTGTGGGAAGTCGGCCTCCGGTAGGGCCCGTGTCTGCTGTATAACAGCCTTCCCTGCAGGTCGTTCGGGGAAGTTAGTTAGCTGACCCGTGACTTCCACAGGGACGGAGGGTTACTTCCTGGAAGTGTTGCTGTGAAATTCTGAGGGATCCAGGCTGAGGAGAGAAGATTCTAGAAAGGTCCGGTGGATATGACGGCTTCAGGGAACTCAGGTCTTGAGGGAGAGAGACAGGGCTGATCTTTGTCTTGGTCTTTGAAGCTGCTGTGACAAAACCCCTCAGAGTGGGCAATTTATACAGAGCAGCCATTTATTTCTCAGAGTTTAGGGGTGAGGAAGGCCAAGATGCAGCCACCAGGAGATTCAGTGTCTGGTGGGTGCTGTTCTTTCTCCAAAGATGGCACCTTGTTGCTGCTTGCAAAAGGGACAAAGATGCCTCCCTGGGCCTTCTTCTCAGGCCATGCCTGAGGGTGGAGCCTTGCAGGGCAGTCACCTCTGAAGACGCAGTAACACAGCTGTAACACATTAGCACAGCCTGGAAGTCAGACCACAGCAGGCAGCCATGATGGAAGGAAACCTGGGTGGCCATGGAGCAGGGCAGAGACATGGCTGAGCAGGGCCGGCTGAGACACAAAGGGGTCCCCAAGGCCCCCTCAGCCCGAGCCCATCCCTGTGCGAGGCCTAGCCCACTGTTGAGAAGCGGGGTCACAGCTGCTTTCCGTGGGGTGCAGGAAGCACCACAGGCTCCTTGTGCGTGCCTGCTCCTGGCTTCCTCCTGGCCCTCTCCCAACCCTGACCCTGACCAGAGCCCCCACACCTCCCATCTGGGGTCCTCACTCAGAAGCTCTGTGGAGCTTCAGGGTTCCCGAGAATCAGGATCAGAATCAGAATCAGATTCCCGAGAATCAGAACCTTCCAGAGGATCCCGTGGCTTCAGGAGGGCCTGGGGAGAGATGAGGCCATGGCAGGACGTGAGTGCCTCGCCTCCAGTGACCAAGGCTCTGTGGCTACCAGGGACTACGGTCACTGTGCCCAGGCTGCAGGCTTGCTCAGTGGACTGAGGTCCCCATTCCAGAGCCCTGCCCTTTCTGGCCTGGATATCTGCGACAGCTCCCTGCTTTGTTCCCAGACTGTCTGCAGTGGGACTTTGAAATGGCACATTGCAGCCCATTGCCCCCGCTCCAAGTCTTCCAGGGGCTCACCAGCTCGCTCCCCACAAAATGCAGCTCTTCATGTGGACTTCCAGGCTCTGAAAGACTTGGTACCAGCCAAGGACCCAGCTCCTCAGACCCACTTCCTCCTGCTCCAGGGCTGTGACTCTGAACTGGTCCCCTTGCTTCCACCTCAGTGCCTTTGCACGTGCCACCACCCACCTGCGGTGCTGGTCCTAGGTCCTTGGCCGGATCCTTCTCACTCCCAGTGATCCTACCCTGGTTGCCTGGCCATGGTGCCTCTAGCCCACTACTCCCCAAGTTTCATCAGTTCCTTACCTCAGCCCTGATAAGTATGCCCACCCCCCCCACACCATGTCCTAGACACAAGGGCCTCCCAGGTGTCCTGGAGGGAGCACTGGATGAGTCCTGGGTCTCCTCACTGTGCTGGGCCATCAGGGATGCAGACAGCAGGCTGGCGGATCACTTGGTGTCCTACCATTGCCCGGTGCCTGCAGGCGCTGCCTGGTGATGCCAGCTGGTCCACCAAACTCTGGCTCATCAGGTTTCTTGGCCACTGGCAGGACCGGGTGTGGCCTCTCGTTCCAAATCCCAGAAGTCTGGGAGCTGAAGCCCTTGATTTCCTCTCTTCACAGTGAGTGCAGAAATCTCAGCGCACCCTCTCTGCCCTCCTGTGGCTCCCCGCTGCCCTGGAGTGGCCTCCAGCATCCCCCGTGTTGGAGCAGCACCTGTCCTCTCCTGTGACACGCGTGTGCACACTCACACACCGGCCACCCCCCCCCCCGACTGAGAGCCCTGGGGACGCGAGGGTGCCCCGTGCCCGCCTCTTCCTGCGGCACCAGGCCCAGGCTGCCCCGCCCACTTGCGGCCTAGCACAGACCTCAGACGCAGCACAGTGGGCCAGTTTGGGCACCAGTGGAAGACCTGGGTCTGCAGGCGACCTGGGGGGACAGCTGGCTGCTGAGTGTGGCGGCCACAGGAGAGTCTGCCCCGCCCACTTGCGGCCTAGCACAGACCTCAGACGCAGCACAGTGGGCCAGTTTGGGCACAGGCCGGCTCTCCACCCTCCCTTCCCACCTCGGGCTGCGCCAAGTGCGACCCCAGAGCGGGGCCGGAGCTGGGGCACAGCTGAGCACCAGTGGAGGACCTGGGTCTGCAGGCGACCTGGGGGGGCAGCTGGCTGCTGAGTGTGGCGGCCACAGGAGAGGCCTGGGCTTGGCATCGGCCTCACTGTGTCCGGCCCGGCCCAAGAAGGCTGCAGTCCCGGAGCCGAGCCAGTGCTTCTCCCAGCACCGCTCCCTCCGTCAGCGCGGATGTCTGGCTCGGGTCAGGGCCTGTGCCTCAGGGGTGTGGCCCCAACAGAGCGCTGCCTGGGGTGAGCGTGGAACGGATGGGGCCCCCACGCTTACCTGTGTCCTCCTGCTCCCCCCTAGGGTCCCTCCTGCTGTCGTGTCCGAGCCCCACAGCCCCACCCCAGCCAGGGCCTTCTGAGACGACGGTCATTTTGGTACTGTGGCCGACGGTGGCATCCTCAAGGTAGCAGGATTTGATGCGAATTCTCTGGACTGTGTCCGCCTCGGGGTGAGGACCCGGCTCGGGCATTTGGGCTTCAAAGGAAGCATCTGTGTCAGCAGCAGGGGCCGAGGCTGAGGGACAGCCGGAGAAACACCGGGGAGATGGGGCGGAAGGTGACTGGCACTCCCTGAAGGTCACTTTTATTCTGTGGCTGCCCAGGCACCCTCCTTCTGGCTGGGCTCCTGCGGGAGACCTTAGCTCCAGGGGCAGCCATTCCGGTTCTATCCCAGGCGTGTCCCGCAGTCCCTCTGCACCCCTCAGCCCGCCCCGCCCGCAGCCTCCTCACAGGGCGTCCCCTCTGGGGTCAGTCTCAGCGCACCATTCCCCGTGTGCTGTGGTGAAGTCCTCGTGAAGCCCCTCCCAGGAGCACATTTCTGTCTCATCCTGGTCTCTATCTCACACAGAACCCGCTGAGCTGGGGCCCGAGAGGTTGCTGTTGCCCAGAGCAGCCAGCGGTGCGGGCGGCTCACACTGGGAGGGTCCAGCGGTGAGAGCAACAGCGGGATGGGCAATCGCAGGGAGCTGCCCACTCTCGTAGCTGGAAGAGGCCCCTACACTGCTGCAGGGAAATGGCTTCCCAGCCTTCGGCCTCATCTGCTGCAGAGGCGAAGCTTCAGCCTTCTCCGGGCCTGAGCTCCCTGAATTTCATGTCCCCTCGGGGAGGAAGCAAGGAGGGGGCAGATGGCGGTGCTTACGGAGGTTGCTGAGCTGCAGGCCAGGACTCTGCATTTGTAACCGTGTCTTGCTGGGGGCTCGGGGCTGGAGGAAGGAAGAGGGATTGGTGTGGGGACAGGAAATTCACCTGGCCACGGCCAGGCGAGGTGGGGACCTCACAGGTGTGTGTGGTGGGGACAGAGCATTTCCGCCCGGATCCCACACTGAGCAACAAAGTGGCTTAGGGTCCACCTCGCCCCCCAGGCAGGTGACTTCCTGTCTGTTAATTCCTCTGAGACTATTTCCTTTCCACTATAAAAGAGGGAAGGGTAATGTTTACTTATGTGAGGGCAGGGGGAGCGCAGGGTGCTGCACCCAGCGTGTTTGGTTAAGATGAGTGCGTTTTCGTCTAAAGGCTCTAAAACCGGAGAGGGGGGAGCGGCATCACCGAGCGCGCCCTGCCACGTTGCTGCTGTCCTGGTCACCCTTCCTCCGTCACTGTTGCACTTACTATGTGCTGGCACCACGACCCACGAATCCTCTCTGTGTCCTCCACGAGGTGGCCCTCCTGTTATCGCCACCACCCAGAGAATCAAGGACATCATCCTTCCCCAGCTGGTGGAGCCCAGGCCCGAATCTGGGCGTCTCCATGGCCGAGGTGGCTCCCGGAGACCCCTTACCCTGTGGCGGCTAACCGCTGCTGTGCTGGAGCGGCTGTGCGGGAACCAGGTCACCCAGATCACACCTGCCCAAGCGTCAGGTTGCAGGGGCCGCAAGACACACTTTGGAGTCCCGCTGCATTCGGTAGAGGGCTCGGTAGAGCTCCTGCTTGGGCACCCGGCATTCCCTCATGGGCAGCAGGGTGTGCACGGGGAGCCCGCCTTCCTCGGCACCTGCAGGATCTTCTGTTGAGAGAGGGACTGAGCCCCGAGGCAGAAGGCAGCAGAGGCCTCCCCGAGAGAGGTCCCAAGCAGACGACATGGACAGAGATATCCGAGGGTCGCAGCGAGGACAGCCTCTGTCGGGACAGACAAGCACATGGGCCGTCAGAACCGCCCTAGCCGTGGGACCTGGGAACCTTCACTGTGGAAGGCTCAGCGCCAGGAGGTGCTCAGAGCGGGGGGCAGAGGGAGGAAGAAAGGCCCAGCGGGGCTCCCTGCTCCCTGCTGCGGGGCTCTCTGACACCCTTGCCATCCTCCTCCTGGGCCACCGTCCACATCGGCTGTGTCACTGTCCATCCAAGCCAGAAACCTGGCAGGCGTTCCAATGCCCAGACACGGAGTCCTGGGAGTGCCGTTCCTGGACTTCTCCCAAGCCCCCACTTCCCCTTTCCGCATAACAGCAATGGTCTCCAGGTGGCCCGCCAGCTCCAGCTGGGTCCCCTCAGTCCCTCTCCATCAGAACCCGGCGGGGCCTCTGTAACTACCCAGTCCCGTCCACACCACCCCAGCTCCCGCCAGGGCCAGCCCTGCCTGCCTCGGGGCAGACTTCCCTCTCCACCTGCCCAGGGTCTGTTCCTGGCTCGCTCCTGGGCCACCTCCTTGGGGAAGCAGTCTCCAGGTGCCTGGTGGGTGGGATGTGGTTGTGCGGGGTTTGGGGGGCTGCTGTGTTCGCCTGGCTCTCACACCTTCAGGCCATGCACACACCAGGCGCGAGTGACTGGGTGAATGAGTAAGTGGATTTGTTCTCTGCTCAGACTGATGTTGTGCAGTTGACCCGGACGCCTCCTTCCTGGTCTAAGCGTTGGGAGCCCAAAGCAGGACCCAGTGGGGCCCAAGGAGAAACTTTCCAAATGGCCCCTTCTGCCTTGGGATAGGCTCTCAAAACTCAGTGCCATCGCCTCACTGAGGAAAACGGCCAGCAGGGGATAAAGTGCAGACCCCAGCTCAGGCAGGCAGCATTGGGGGACTGGCAGCCTCGTGTGTCACAGGAAGCCTCTGCTCTCGAACCCCCAGCCGGTGCAGGGTAGGGTTCGTCTTGGGAATTCCCAGGCCCCTTCCGGGGCAGCAACCCCTCCTCTGCCTCTGGGTCCTCTCTGATCAGTGCTGGCGGCTTTGCTTCTGTCTCGCAGCACTGACACTTGAGCGGAGGGCAATAAGTTCACAGCCCTTGTGGTCCAGACACTTCCTTCTGTGCTGTGCCAGGGAGCGCCCACCCCACCACTGGCCCAGCAGACTCTGCCCCTGGCTTTGCCTCATCTTGCCGGAAGTGTGAACTCACGCGGAGCCCATCCCACGCTGGGCCTGCTCCCTCGCTCCTCTCCTCCGCTCACCCCAAAGGGCAGGCATGGGCAGAGGTGGCCTGAAGGGCAAGGGGTCTGGTGCAGGTGACAAGCAGGTAACAAGGCCATGCCGGCCGGAGAAACCAGGGGTAAGGCTAGACCAGCCTCGCCCCCAGGATAAACAGAACTTGTCATCAGCCAGCGCTCCTGGGCTGCAGCCTGAAGTCACCCCTTGCTGGGCACTGTCCTTCCTCCTCTTCAGTCTCTGGTGGCTGGTTTCCTTGGATTGAGCCCCAGCTCTGCCAACTACCAGCTGCGCCAAGGCCCCATGCCTCAGTTTCCCCATCTGTACAGTGGGGTAACAGCAATGATTTCAAGGGCTGTGGTGAGAATTAAAAGCAATGGTAAACAGCAGAACACAAGCAATGAAGCACAAAAGTCTCCACCCAGTGGCCCCGGAGGAGAGCCCTTGCCCAGTTCCAGGGTGGCCCTGCTTTGGTTGTGACTTCCAGAGTAAAATGTTCACAGAGCACAGGAAGTGATGAGGGTGAAAGACACACGGGCTGGCGTCTTATCAGGGCAGCAACCGGCACTCCCACAATGACTGTGCAGCCCCCCAGCACGAAGGCTCCCCCGCGGTGTCACCCTGAGTCATTTCACCCACCGGCCTCGGTTTTGTCATCTGTGAAATGGGGACACCAGCACCCCGGCTGCGGTCAGCCCGCCCCCGCCGGCTGATCACTGCTGATCTGCAGGAGGCACGGTTATTTGAGCCGAGGAGAGAGCTGGAAAAGAAGCCCACCCAGAGACTCCCTCGAGCTTCACCAGAAAGACTCCCTTACCTCCTGTGCTGGGGTACGCGGTGGCCTCGGCCATGCTGACAGCAGTGGGGAGGGGCCTAGAGGTCCTGGGCGTGGCCGCCGGTCTCAGCTTTGCGGCCTTGGGGTGTGGCCTGAGCCTCCTACCTCTAGCCCCCCTGAACCCACAAGGAAGGAAGCCCCAGCTTCCTCGGCAGGGCCGGTATCAGCGGCTTACAACCAGGAAATAAACACTCAGCCACCCGGCCCCTCAGCTTTCCTGGGAAAAGAAAATGAAACTTGTGTACAGTTTTCAGGAGAAACAGAAGTGAAAGCAGAATTGGTGAGCAAGATGGCTTTGGAAGCCCCAGGGCGGAGCGGGAGGTGGCTTCCCGGGCCTTTCCAGCATCCAGTGCTGCCCGCCCAGATCCCTCCCCAAGGCCAGGACATGTGCTCGGCTGGGTGCCTGCGTGCGTCAAGGGGATGACGCTTTTTACTGAGCACCTACTATGTGCTTTTCAGTGGCATCTCCCTCCTCCGGCTCCTCCACAGGGCAGTACTGTCCTCTTTCCTCGGGGGAAACAGAGGCTCAGGTCTCTGAAGCCATTTGTCTGAGCAGTAACATCCAGGAGTCTCGGGTAAATCCCCTCAGTTCTCAGAGCGCACAGCTACCAGGTGATGTGCTTTGTAATTTCATATTCCTGTTGGAAAACTGCTTTCTGGCACCAACTTCACCAAGACGCCCCGAGGGAGGGTGACGTCCCCAGCCTTGCAGCCCACCCAGGCTGTGAGCCCTGGGGCAAGTTCTCGGAACCTCTGCTTTTGATCGGGTAAGTGAAGTTAATGAAAGAACCTGCTTCCCGAGGTGGGGGCGGGGGCAAAAGAGGGGAAGGCAGCTGAGCAGCGTCCTTCCAGTCAGGAGCACCGACGGGAAGCACAGGCATGCTTCCGGGCAAGGGCCGTCGCTTTCATAGGTCCTCGGGCACCGCGACCCCCAGAGCTCCGCGCCAAGGTTCCCTGTTCCCAGCGCTGCTCCTTGCCAAGAACCCAGCCTGGAAATCCCCGGACTTTCTAGGAGGCTGGGGCGCCGCGCCGAGGCTGGCCACCAGGGGGCACGCGCTCACCAGCAGGCTCGGCCAGCAGGGCTCAGGACCCTGGGATTTAGCGGGACCCGGCCTCCCACCCCAGCCAAGACCGGCTCCCTTTACGCAGCGCCCTGCTCTGCTCTGTGTCTCCCCTCCCCAGACCGGCCCCCAGGTCCCTGGCTCCAACCCCTTCCCCCGCCCACCCCGGTGTGGAGGCCAATCGGGTCCTAGAGCCCGGCAGGCGGGTCTAGCTTTGCTTCTAGAAAGATCAGCTGTGTCAAGTGGGGTAGCAGGGCCCCCAGCGGCCAGGGCCTATGGGGACGGTGTCGGGGTGGTCCCCGTGTTGTGGTACCCCCGTTCGAAGGCCAGCAGCAGGGGCCACTGTGCCAGAGGCAGCCGGTGCCCTGTGGGTCCCGCTCCTCCCCTGCGTGGGTGGGATCCCCAGCCTGAGTGCCTTCAGCTGTAAAAGGGACAGAATCTTTGAAGAAAAGCGTTCTATCAAGGGCTCTGTGTGAGCTCACGAAATCTTCTGAAGTAAAAAAAAAAAAAAAAAAAAAAAAAAGGGGCCCCCACCTAACTGTAGGCCCTGGACAAAAGCAAGTGGAGGAACAAGAGAGAAAGAAAATGGAAAAAACATTGAACATGGGTGGAGCCCACTGTCACTGCCTCTCACACACCTGCCGTGAGTATCACCCACTGAACGGGGCTCTCGCTTTTAAAGATATAGGTCATCCTGTACTCTTCCTTTCGAGTTAAGGCATTTTACAGCTAATTTTGACCCTAAGGATTGTCACACTGGTGTGGCACAGATGTGTCTTCCTGTTTTCAGTTTGCAGCCTGGTTGCAGCCAGATTTACTGTGTGCCCAGGGTGCTTTTATCTCGTTGCTCTGCCGTTTGTGGCCCCCATCCTTCAGTGTGTCTTAAATTCTAGAAAGGCTGCTGGAGCTCCAACCGCTGCATCTGCATTCCTTCCAGCAGGAAGAAATAAAGAGAGGAAGGGCAGGTACCTCTCTTTTAAGAACATCTTGCAAGTTGCACATACTTTCCACCAGTATCCCATTGTTCAGAGTTTACTCCTGTGGGTCTTACGGGCACGAGAGACTGGGAGAGCGGTCAGTCAGTATTCTGCACTGCTGTGTGCCCAGCTGAAGCTGGAGTCCCACTGCATCTAAACTGGGGACCACGGGTATTGGCAGAGATCCAGCTGTCCTGGCAGTTTGAGGTTCTTCCCGGAGGAAGGAGCAGGAACAGCTCTGCCCATGGGTGCACCTGCTCCCTGGGCCTCTGTAGCCAGCAGGGTCTGGGCACTGCCCAGTTGGGCTGAATTCGAGGGCGGCACAGGTCTGGCACAGAAGGCTGCAGGGGGAGGGAGGGAGGCGGGGAGCCGAGCCTGGGCCCTGGGCCCTGGAAAGGCTCAGAAGCCCAGACTTCAAGATGGTGCCGCTGCCCGCCGAGCTGGGCCTCTTTTTGCTTTGGAAAGCACTCTCCTCTTTTCATGGCTTGTGTTTTTCTGGAAACTATTAGAACTCTCCGCCCAAACCAGATGATAATTACATGTTACCGATCTTGAGTCTTTCAGTTCTTCTCTCTCTCATTTAAAAGAGAGATATTTTTACTGCACAATGTGTTGGCAAAACCCAAGTCTCCTCTCTACCAGGAGCCGGGATTTTATTTTCAGACTGTTCTTCTGTGAATGTGCTCCGTGGGAGGAGGGAGAGGCACTGAGCGTGGAGTGGGTTTCTCCTCTCAGGGCGAAGGTCGTCGCCCCAGAAGTGGTTGGGGAGCCCTGGGGCTGGCCCGCAGGTGCCCGAGCTCCCGCCAGGGTGGCGAGCTGTCCCGCACAGGCCAGAAGAAGAGGCCCTGGCTGTGCCCTCTGC